AAAACAGAATAAAATAAACATTTAAGTGGGGTTCCCATGAAAAAAACGTGATTTTTTGTTCGATATTGATAACGGAAACAGGTAGCCGTTTCAAAAATGTATTCACATAAAATTTAGTTGCATATTCACTTTAAAAATAATAGATTACATTAAAATAAAATTAATATTTAAGGGCGGCTCTCATACACCAGACGTGATTTTTTTGTCGTTTTTTGATCGATATTATAATAAAGTGTCTAATGTTTTATAGGTAAGGAACCATTCGTACATGAATCCGACTCGCACTTGACCGTTTTTTTCTAATTCACTGTTAGTTTGGATATTGTTTTTTTTTTTAGTAAAAAACATGATTGCGTTTAGGGTTGTTACAATTATCACAATCACATTGACAAAATTATTGTTCACTATCATAATATCAAAATAATCAGTCTAATATTTTTCCGTCACGTTAAGGAATTTAATACCGTTGGCTTACATAGTGCAGTCACAGATGGCGTAAGAAGATTCAAAAGTGTAAATAATAAAAAAAAATGAGGTTCTTTTTCTTAGTTCCGTTTGGCAGTCGTATATTTAATTTTATATACTTAAGAAAGTTTATAGTCAGAACAGTTCTTAAATGAATGAACTGAATGGTTCGTGAAAGGAATTAGTAAATGTGAGTACTAATTGATATGTAAGTGGATATGAGTAGCGTCAACCCTAGAGTCGCCGACTTTTATACTTAGTAGAACCGACAGTGACCAATTTATCATTAGACACGCCGCGTAAGTATTTACTACTTCAACAGTGCAAAAAAATACTTTATTTTAATGTTAATATGTTGGCAAACGAGCGTATGGCCCGTCTGATGGTAGTGATGGAAGCAGCTACCATAGCTTATAGACACTTGCGATACCAAAAATATTATTCGTACCGTTGCCTACTCTGACTGACCCAATCTTACCCATATTACTCACTGACAGTAACACAACACCACCGTAGTATTATTTTACTGTGATCTTCAGTATGGTGGAAGTTAGTTTTCCAGCCGGGCGCTCCAATTCGAGCGATATATCAGCTATGCCCAGGAGCTATATTTTTGAATCACTGGTCTGACATAGTAGCGCCGAATGCGACATAAGTCACCTTCGACTTTCAAGTCGCATAATACTGATTTTCCGTATTTTTGAATTATTCGTCACCGGTGTTACCTGTTTAGTATGAAATATGAAATTTTACTCATTTCACGCAGAAAAAACAAAAACCGGTAATTACCGTAATCAAATACGAACAAAAAGTTCTCGTTGTCGTTTCATATAAAGCATGATAATGATAGATTATCGTCGTCTAATAGCAAAATAGAAATGACAATTATTCTATCATTCGCCTTCAGCGTTCGCCATGCAGCGAGTGGTCTCACCCATTCGTTGCCCTCGAGCGATTCAAAAACACGGAATTAATTATTTCGAATGAAATTTAGTAGAAATCGAGCGTTCGACGCAAGACGAGTGATTCAAAAATAGAGCTCCTGCTTTCTTGAGTTTTTAAATTATAATTCCAAATTATAACACCAGCATCAAACAATGGACTTTACTTTTGGAGTGAATTTCAGTACTGAGATAATAATTTGCTCTGCGCTGAATATTAACTTATTGCTATTGAATTTTAGGTACCAACTTTTTGTATACTCTTAGTATTTTGGTTTGTTACTACAATTTTGTTTTGATATTAATGTTATCTTTGAACGATATTTTGATCAATTCTATCCAAAATCAATTAACCTGTAAGTTACTCTCTGTGAATATAAAACATGTGACCTGCTATGTAAATTCGTACATTTCCGTTGTAATTTCGGGAAATCAAACTTTTGGCAGATGTCCAGTCCACTCAATGCGATGAAACCACCTGCCATTACTCAAGTCTGTTTATGTTTCCAGAGCAAGATACTTTTTTTTTACTTTTTAATCGGTCGTCTGTTAGCTAATTTAATGTTTCATTCAATATTTTGATGTAAGTGCTTATGTACCCACAGAAGATTCCGATAGGTACAGAAAAGCCTCTAAAAGGTCACATACGGATGGGGAACCGATATCTTTCTTATATTCTATATCGTTATAGGCTGGTGCTCCAAATTGCACGGCAAATGTTGTACTCTACCACTCTTACGTATTATTCTGAAATTATTTGTTAGGGTTGACTTTAATATGTTCGTACAGTCACACCCACCTCTGCAAATAACTCTTTGGCAAGGTCGTAGTTCCTGTTCGTTCTTGCTATTTTTTTGTCTAAGTTTGTAGAAGGCTTACTTGTAGCTATATATACAAAAAAAACCCATGCTGGGCTTCGAGTGAAAGAAACGCATAGAATGCCAGCTGCTTGTTTATATTAATGTAGTAAAGACAGGGCATATTCGGAAACGCTGTAGGTGATGGCCTGGTTACCACTACCCTGGCACTATCATTATTGTTTCCATACAACAGCTTAGATCCAAACCAATGCAAAATATGGCGTCATTTAGTTGTGTATTGTAGTTTCAAATCTCATGCACCTTTGGCGCTCTGCCAACCTGCCAGATGTATATAAACAGATATATCCAAACATAAGCTATCAGAGATAGTGATAATCGAACAAGTATCAATATCAACATACTTCTTTGAAAATTACAACGCTAAAATTCATACTAAAAAGCTTTAAAAGCAAAGCCCATCCGATCCGTTATTTCTCCGAAGTGATGTTAAATAACTCCTTTGCGAGAGCTATACGATGCGGTTCACACATTACGTGCATTATGCGATTGTGCATGCGTTTGTTAAACATGACTAAGTATTCGCCAAAAGGATCTCCGATTCGTCAAGTTTTGCTTTCAAAATAAAACGTTAATAAACATTACTAATGCCCATTCCGAAAAAGAAAGAAAGAGTGACTTTTACATCATTACTGTGTCATTAGCACGGTAGGAAAAAAAACATGAGTGATCAATTGTTTTTGATACTTTTTATATTTTCTATTTATTATCTGTGATTTATCATACCTTCTAAATTTTAATACAACAAAAACACAACCAATAGAAACTGTTGAGATAACGAATAACGTCTAAAAGAATTAATTAAGAGAGAATAATAAAAAGGTTAATTCAATATAGGCGATATAGAATTTATACAGACATGGACGAAGAACCAGACTGTTCAAAGACGGAAGACGGAAGGACGGACACCGGAGGCTTTTAGTCTATTACTAAGTTTCACTTTTGCATACAAAATCTGAAAAATTCTTGTAGCTTGTTAATGATCATAATGCTGTTTCCTACAGCAACAGGCCTTTCACATTTATAACACAGATGATGCAAGTTCCATTTCTGTCACAAACATTGTTGAAATCTTGATGCAATATAAAACGATGCTGCTTGGAAGTCTAAATTATAATATTAGTCAATATATATTTCATCAATATGAAGTAAATCTGACTTACGTTAAAATGAGGGTTTCAAAAGGTGACTCTAATAAATCGTTAAAGATGTCACGACATTTGAAACAGTTGCTCGTTAAAATAAGGTTGTACGTACGAGACCGCTACGTGTATGCTTAATCGTTGGGCAAACATACAGTGTGGTCTGAAGAAGAAAGTGTAAGACATATATAGCAATTCTTTACACTAGATGTGGTAAGGACAAAAGTTCCATCTGATTTAGTTAATCAAATGTATGTATTTTTTTAATTAACAAATCTGGCGAAATGTCCTTTATGAGTACACAGCTTTGAAAATTTTTATCTGCTACATTTGCAAAACACATATACATGCATACACATTGAGTAAAAATAAAATAAAACTTTGTATTGCATAATTCATCTTTATTGTACATTTGTCAATCGTTTATTTTATTTATAAAGAAGTCTTATTATTTATTAAAATGTCTTGGAAGGTTTGCTATCGGCGCAATTTGATAACATAGTAACTAATTTTGTTCCGTTTTAACTGTGACTTTAGGCCGCATCCAGTTACTCGATATTTACGTTGGCAGCCCAAAGGTACCTGGGATCAGCACTCAGGACCTTCGCCTTTATTTATGTATACTCAGACAGAAATCACCCTTTACGCCGCCCGCTCCTCGCCTGTGAACCAAGAAAGCATTCAAAATGATTTATTGTAAATGGTTTTCTACATTGTTGGCTAAAATAATAACGTGGACCTGTTCTAAATTCGATATTTTATTGTTACATTTTCTTTTTGCCATACCGACACGTTTCTCGAAAATTTAATTTGCAAGCCCTTTTGTTCGGTCATTAGATGCCGTGATTGAATGAGTCAGCGATATGGTAATTAGAGGATAGAAACAAAATTTTAAAGATGAATAGTTAACTCCTGAAGTGCAAACAAGAGTTGGATTTACTGAATGAGACATCGTTAATGCGAATAATAAAAACGTTAAAGGCACAGCAGAAGTTGCGGATGGCTTTGTCCACACACACAATGGGAGAAACTTTCAGCCGATTGACGCTTTAACTCCAAAGGTGTCACGAGAATTAGTGGCCCATTATTGCCCCATAGAAAACGCTATGGTCAAGCAGTAAAGAGATAACAATAATTAGCTTGGACTCGACAAAAAGTGACATAAATCCCGCATAATAAGTTCTCCTGTGTGCAAAAAAAGCACCGTTTACCTGGATTCTTACTTTTTTTGCATGACTCGGAATGAACGTGGACGATATAATAAACACCTCAATTCCTGGCAGGGGCATTGTTTAATGATTTTTCTGTTGTGATCTTGCACAATTCCTAGTCAGCACAGTTTTTTCGGTTTGAACTTGCGAGAAAAATAAAAGTTTTTGTATGTCTTGGTAGCATTTAAACAAAAGGGACTCGGGATTTTGGGGAGGTGTGATTTATTTATGACTATACCTCGAGAACGCAAGGTGTAAGCGAGTTTGGGTGGCTTCTTAGATTTCTCGCCGACTATTCAGCCCGTTGTTTGTGTATCGATCAAAATCAATAAATCGGTTAACGTTCTGTTTCTTTTGTTGCAGGAACAATATGGAATTCTCGCATGCGACTGGCACGCTTTTACATGACATTTAATCAGTATTATCGAAACATAAGACGTTTTTAAACACCGTTATAAAACCAAAGATGCTGGGGTGTGCTCCGAGGAGAGTTACTTCAGTCATCTCTGTCACTGCAAAGAACATAAGCTTCAGCTCGGCTGACGACAGCCGGTGCTTAGATAAGTAGATGTATTGAGAACGGTGCTCGTAACAAAATTTCGGCTAACATTTCTAAAAGAGAAATCCCTAATAATTTAAATTGTCAAACCTGAAACAAAACTAGTCAAGTTTAATAGCAATAGTTAGTTACCAGAAGCGAGAGTTGCGCGGTAATACAGGGCGGTTGCGCGTGCCGTGTCGCCACTGCGGTGGTATGCGTTATATTGCCTATTGGATCGACTGTGCGCTGACTGGTCGCTACGTCACGTGGCTTCCCGGCGCGCGACTTCAGTGCTGGATGCTACTAACTGTATACACGTAAGTACTGACTCTTTATCTAATGGTGGCCAAACACGATCAAGTCCATCTTGAATGCGGCATGATACTGCCGTTTGGATGATTTGTCGATCAGTTGTAACTGAGTGTGTTGTACCTATATGGGCGAAATACAGATTGGATCAAGCCTACAATATCATGCCGATTGGACGATAGGCAGTATGGTGTATGGCCACCATAGCGCTTTATCAAAGCTCAAGAGCAAAACTGCAAGAATTGTTACTCCACATGCATGCTACACCTACACTTGGGATACCTTTTTATTTTGTCGGTGATTGATGCATTAAGTTTCATAATGATTTGTTAGCATCTATTTCAGTGCTAAATAAGAAAAAAAACGGGCGAGCCTTACATTTGAAACCCCACCTTATATTAGTAAAAAAAGAAATAAAATCTACTACAAAAGGAATAAGCCATTTGAAAATTATGTTCTAAAATCAAATCAAATAGTGCGCGCTTTCGCGACTTCCTGTTACACACTTCCGTCCTATTTCACGAAATCACTCCCACAAATTGCAGGAAAGCGAGAGGAAAGATATTACACATCAAAAACTACCTAAGTAGGTACATTTTGTAAACAATAAAATGTAATAAAAGTTTGTATAGTATAATTTATGGTCTTCACAACTCAGTTCCTGTTCAGAAACATGTCATAAGTAACTACAACATTCAAGTCACCATTGCCGATGATTTTTAATTTACGACGATATTAATTTTAAAACGCCATCCTTACCTGTTAATTAAAAGCTCTATTATAAAGCACGCAGCGAACTTAATGACATTTCAACTCATTACATTATATTACCAACTTAACAAGCTTCTCGCCAAGTTAACTATTCGTGTCAGTTGTTAAACTCCGGTTGGATGTAACTTTACCGTTTAACTTAATCTATGAATAGGAACTTGTAGGAATTTTCAGTTATGGTTTGTCCGTCTGTTTTGAATTTTTTCATGATTTCGAAAGGCTATGTTGTAGCGCATGAGTACTGACATTATATGGCTAAGTAAAAGGGGTTCTTTTATGTACCATTAAAACCAATAAGTAATAGTCATACATACTGCGACTTTTGCTTTAAGCTGAAACATCACAATATTGAGTTTTCGCAGAAGCCAAAAGTTGAATTCTTTACCTTGTCAGTTTACAACTTAGTTGCTTGAAAATAGGGGTTATTAGTTTTATTAAAATGTATTATTTTATTGAAAGGTATATATAGAATCAGTAGATTTTTAATATTAGGCACTAAATTGAATTCGTTATTCACTTGTTCTGAATTGCAAACCATAGCTTTAGTTCTATTAAAAAATAGTCTATTGCATTAGTAACAAAGGTCAAATTTAACGGACCCTTGATATTTACCATTGGCTGTTGTAAATACTTATGTAAGTACAGTCCAAGCCAAGGCATTGAATACGTTTGAAGTGCATATTTCACTCTTATTGATACAAGTAAAAGTGACTCCAATATCAGACTATGCACTAGGATAGCCTGTTCCAATAGCGTATCGCAGTAGGTTTGGAATGCAAATAGTAAATTTAATTCTAGATTATTGTAAGTGCTCTTTGATAGTTTGTTGATTATCGTCAGTTGACTGAGCTTTATGTTGACTTCCTATTGCACTCAATGCTGTGTTAGTTAGATGTTATCAGAAATAGTTTTTTTATCTCTTCGTGTAAGTGAATATGGAATCTGTTGAGTTTCAATATGGTTTTCATCATCATCATTATAAGCCTATTAATGCCCACATTTCTGAGGAAGTATCCTAACCTATGGATGGAATTAGAGCAATGGGCCAAAGCCATGGTTTTAAGTAGGCTAGGGCACAACGGATTTCCCGCTCGAATTGGATCCCCCGTCTGGGGAAGCAACCTCCACCTTACAGAAGAAGACAGTAAAATAACACTACCTTTTGGTGGTGTTGTGATTCTGCTGGTGAGTAGGGTTCCAAGGATAGTTTCAGGCCGGCAAGGTGGGGATGGCTGGAGTGGCACACATTCTGCCGCATCATCTGTCTTCACGCCTGGACTCCACTTACACTTAACATCAGGTGGGGTGGGGTAATTTCTTGCGCCTCGTATAAGAAAAGCCCATCGATGCAGCTGAAGCCTTGAGATAATATACTTTGACCACCCATCTTATCACCGGTCATTGTGAAACTTGCTTAACTTTCACCATCGCAGACCGAACCCGCTAACCGCTGTGTTATGTAACTCTTTGGAGCTCCTATTTACTAAGGTTTTCATAGTTATATTTCTTATTGTTTAAGAATTTAGCTGCTAGATGTTTAAATCTGAAGAATATTTTACTAGGGGTATTGTTTTATTGTGAGTTAGACCTACAATGCAAAAAGAGATGGCGCTGCCTTGCAGAAAGCTAAGAAAGGCTAGAGAAAATTCGACACGGCCATCAGGGCCGCGATCGCAATTTTTTCTAGTAAAATTTTCTTTAGGTTCTCATTTTTTTCTCGGCCTGGTCAACGTATAAAATAAACAACTTACTCGGGTCTGGATATTTGTTTCCTTTTAATTGTTTAGTCACTTTAGAATTACAGAGCAAAAGAATAGAATGGAAGCTCTACCGCATTTTTCACGGGCAGTGCTCCGAGGATTGTTCGGATTAATTCCAGCTACTGCTTCTCGCTATCGTACCTACATCGCGAAAAAAAATCATCTGTATCATCTAGATGCGTGGCTATCCACAACTGTGGCATTTGTGTGTTGTCGCCAGAAGTGTTTCACCGACGACCCGAAAACCTTCAAAAAGAGAGCGTACTCCTTCATCAATTAAAGACCGGCATCGCATCATGCGTGGTTACTTCTGGTGTTGCAGATGTCTATGGGTGATGGTGATCACTTACCATCAGGTGAGCCGTCTACCCGTATAATAACAAAAAAAAAACTGAAAATTAAACTCTAAAAGAGTGAATTGGGTGATATAAGTTTGACGACCTCCGTGGTCGAGTAGTTTGTACGCCGGGTTTCATGGTGTCGCTAACTCGAGAGGTCCCGAATTCGAATCCCGGTGGGGGCAGATGTTAGTGTGATGAATACGAGCATATGTGTTCTAGTTATGTACGTTTAATATGTATTTCTTTATAAATATACTTATATATGTACTGTATATGTATTCTATCCGTTAACCTAGTATCCCATAACACAAGCCTTACAGTGCTTACTTTGGTGCTAGGCTAATTGGTGTGAGTGTTGGAAATATTTATTTTATTTTTTTATAAGTTTGCATAAAAAAAAACGATTATTCTACGCAAACGGAGTCTCCGACACCCATAAGTTGTTGCATTGAATTTAAATAACAACAACATTTAAAAGCTAAGCAATAAGAACGATATTTCTAACGCACATGTATCACACGGCCTCGAATGTTCGGAATATTGGTAACAATATTTGCGTATTTATAAGTACAGTTTGTCGAAAAAATCGCAACGACGTGTTAATTCTGTTGGTATGTCACTTCGTTTATTAAATGATAATGCAGACTTTAGCCAGTGACTGCGTTTTTGTGGATTTTGGAGCCGTTATCCCTGAATACAAAGTAATCCTCACTGTAATTCCAGGCTTGGGATAAATCAGTTGAGAGTAATGGACTTGGTGCAAAGTAGCCGCAGCATCTAGTGATAGTATAAATAAATGTATTTTTTTTTGTAATTATCAACGTGTTTTATTATTATACTAAAAGAACTGCAGGTGATTTGATTTGCCTGAAGATCTAATGCTAGAATCATGGGCAAAAATTACTCTTCGTTCTACCAAAAAAATTTCACAGTAGTACGGCAATAAAAGGTATTTTCGCGTCAATCGGTGAATTCTACTACTCTTTTTGTGATTGAAGTTCAGTTGCAAAGGTAGCTTGATATTAGTTGGGTTTAAGTTATGTTTACGGTTAAGAGTAAAACTTTTGCGGCGCATTTAAAAATCGGCTTATATACAATGATTTCTTTTTACATATTTTTTAGTATTTTTTTTGTTTTTCTGTTTGTTTTTATTATTTTGCAAACCATTTACAAAATTAAACCTTATTACTTCAGGTTAGCGTTCTAAAATGTAAGTTGCTCGACTTTTGATGTTCTTAGACGGCATGTCTTTTCAGTGATAAATAATCCCGCCTTAGAGAAGAGCAATAGATTTCCGTAAACAGCAAACCGAAAACGAACTTCCGAAAACGAAAGCACGAATTTCGAATCCGATTTACATTTGGATACTTGTGGTGGTATTAGATCGCTAGCGTTTTGGTTCGGTTAGATTTCTGAAATAGGATTTTCTTGTTGAGAAATCGTTCGGTATCGATTTGTGATTCAAATCGGATTTTGGATTCGTTTTGATATATCGGACGCATGCCTAGTAGGTGGTGTTATTTTACTGTGTTAAAAAAAAGAGCGTACTCCTTCCTTAAAGGCCGGCATCGCATTTGTGATACTCCTGGTGTTGCAAGTGTCCATGGGCGACGGTGATCACTTACCATCAGGTGAGCCGTCTGCTCGTATGCCCCCTATAACATATAAAAAAAAAGTTATTAGGCCGTAGTCTTCTGTGAGGGGGGGTTATTTTCTTAGACAGGGCTCTAATACTAGAGGAAAATTCGGCCTGCCTCTTCTTCTCTTAAATTCTATCTACGACTGCATAATATAAAAATAGGTACAAGGACACGTACAAATAATTTTGTATGCTTATGTTTTCATGGTAGGTAACATTTCAAGTTCTTGTAACAAACATAATAATATAAAAAGAAACACAATGCAAATTATACGACAGTCCCAATAATATATTTTCATAAAATCACCCAAATTAGGATTTATATCGTCACAAACTGTTAGATTATGCATATCGAAAATCTATTGACAGCGTTTATCTTTTACCTTATACGTAGTAGGTAATAAAAATCGAATACCGATACGATATGAAAGATGAATGTATTTCTAACTCATAAATACTAAACACGCGAGGCTTATCTAAAAAAGTATGTACTTTAT